AGAGCATTCTCCTCCGAATGAGGTGCACCTAGTTCGAATCCCAGTGATGGCTGAGTGATATGAATTCCACACCCGGTTTTTACCGACCACAGTGCTGACGTGAAATATCCTCAGTGGTAAGCGGATCATTTCTTAGAGTTCCCTTGGTATCAGACTAACCGTAGGAGGATTTCGTGATTTTCCTCTCCATGTAACTCAAATGCGGGCTATCAAAACGTCCTCCACGAATGCAAAAATTTCTTCCACTACTTGATCCTGGAGTTCTCTTGTCTGCTGGATTAGGTTTAAAATTACAAGGCTACGGAATTAAACATTAGTAGTAGTAAGCTCGAATTTTTGGAATTTTTTCTAGTTGTGCATAAATTTTTTATTGTTTGAGTTGCATTGTTTGAGTAGAATATATAATTGAGAACACTGTAGAATCTTATGATGGATGTGCATATATTGTTTATTTATTCAGATATCAGTTTTATATTTTTTCTTTGTTAATATTTGAATCATGATAAATTTTTTATCAGAACAAATATGTCTATGTCATATTAATTATTTTTCGTATATTAAAAATTATTGCTTATTTTCAAAATTATCTTAGCCCCCCTATCGGGGCATTGCTGACCCCCTGTCGGGCTAAGTCTAGGGCCACTCTTGCATTTGGGAGGTCCTAGGGAAAGGTTTCGGAAGATGAGTGCTATATGGGATCCGATTTGATATTAATTTATTCGTGGATATAATTACATTTATTCGATATTTTAATACTTACTGACGATAGATTAGAAGAAACATCAGTGTTTGGAGTATCGGGCAAATATATACCGAGCAATGATACTTTACCTTAAAAAAACATCAGTGTAGGGTATACCGGGCAATGGCACTTGACCTTAAAAAACCATCTGGCGTCTGGGCTTTTTTTATAAGGTGGATTATTTAAAGCAAAAAATTTTAATATTTCATTAAAATTACTATACTTTAAAAAAGGATTGTAATAAAAAAAGTATGTATAATTTTATGATAAAAAGTAAACAAATAATCAATAAGGTTATAAATAGAGAGCAGGTATTTACATTCACTACAAGAGAATTTCCTGTTGGTTCGTACTCGCGCGCTTGAGATCAGCAGTTTGGTGCTTCAAACCAAACAGTGTTCACCAGGCTTGCTGATTCAGATTTCAAGATTCAGTTAAGAGTAGTGAGACAAAGTTATTTCAAAAAATTTTTAGATTTAAATTTCGAAGTTAATATATTGCTGACAAGGTAATATGTGTTTTATAGACTCTCAAACCATGCGTTTACTATCTTTTCACTATTTATGTTTGTAATTACATAACTGCGTGTACCGTCTTAAACATTTAATGTTTTTTCCTTATTTACTAAGTTTACTGTTGATAGATTGAACACGTTGAGTCAGATAGCCTTCAAAGACACCACAGTAATCTGGAAATGCGGGAGCTAAAGAACTTGCAGCGCATCCCAAATGTAAAAAACACTAACCATAAGCACACGTGATTAACGTAATTATTTAATATTTTACATTATTATTTAAAATAGGTTTGGTGCTTAAAGGTGTTCTAAAAAGTTATTTTAAGGATTATTTTCACCAAATGCTTTCCTCTCGACGGAATTAAAAATGCGGTAACCATATTCTTTGAGAATTCTTAGATTGAAGTTTAAAAAATAAATTAAAAAGTATAATTTCTCAGCTGACTGATGCTTTTAAAATTTTATAAATAAATGGAACTTTTGCTAAAATTTTATCTTCTGCTATCATTTTGCTATCTAGTGGTGCAGAATTCTTCGAAATAGTTTTCCTTAACGACGCGCTAGAGTTTTCATAAGCTACCAGTACTTTTAGTCAAAATACAACTTAAAATGAGGTAGTTTGATTTCTTCACTTCCTTTCTTTACAGTTGCAAGAAGAAGATGAGTTTAGTGACTTTTAAATCAGTCAGCCAATCATTTGTACGTTTTTGTTCTCTTGGCTCCATTTGATTTCTGCGTTGCAAAGAATATACTCGTGTGAGTCAACTTTATTTATTACTTGGAAGTTTTTTTTAAAAAATTTAAGAAGCCTTTGCCGAAGGTAAAGATATTAAAATGTTATTTCATAATTTATTATAAATATTTGAATTAAACGGCGAAGTGACAGTAAAAATTTTTGTACTTATTGTTGTCACTTACTAATATCTTATTGCCTACTATTCAATTGAGGCTTATTTAATTATTTTGTTTATTAAGTTATAAACAATTATTTTGACTTTCATTGCTGCAACTTTTGGCAAAGTTATTGTAAGAATATATTTTTGAAAAGTGCTTATTATAACGTGACCCTTATAATTATGATAGCTATATTAAAAATGTTTGAATGATACCGTTCTCATATATTTAAACTATAAAATAGATTAATAGTTAATATAATATTTTGTTAATTATAAATATATTATATTTCTTAATAATTGTCCTTTTTTTTAGGTAACCATGTATACTCAAAGTAGACTAAAAAATTTCAAGAATAAGGGCAGAGACACTGAGGTAAGAAAAAAGAACATATTAATGAAATCAATATTTTATATCGGTTAAATTTATTGTTTACTTTTAATAATTTATCTATTATAGTTTATACATAAATGCAATTTTTTTATTAAAATTGATCAGCTATAAAAAGATAAACCTGAATTTTCAAGAATGTTAATAATAGAGCATTTTGTGATTTATATTTTTGAAGGTTTAGTAACGCTTTGGTTCAGTTGACTGATTTTTATCTGTACTTACCTTACCTTAATCTTATATTTTTATGCAAATAAAGAGGTATTTCTACTTAGTAACTGTACCTGTTTGCACCAACTGCTTTCCCCAAGGGGCCAAATATTTCTTAAGGGCCATTTGCTTGCTGAAATCTATGTAGTTTAATGTATAAAAAATTAGAAGTATCAATGTATAAAGTTTTAACCATTTCAAGAATGTTACTTTTTCTTTAAATATTTCCCTAAGGTTTTTTTCATGTGTAATTTATTACATATAAAGTTGGAAGCATCAAAAACTAAATTGTAAAGTAAAAATATGTAGTGGTTTGTAGTGGCTCTCAGTGATATCCCTAGATTTGGTGCCCTCTGCTATGTTTTTTTTTCTCCTCCTGCCAGCACCCAGTCATTGCTAAAATTTTGCTATTGTCCCTGGTGTTACGGAAATCTACCCTGAGTAAAATATGACGCCAACAAGTCAAGTAACAAATATTTAGTTTTAATTAAATGGTCCATGTCTGATAACTTTGATGTTGTGTGAATTAAAATAGTAAACATCCTTTTATCTTTCAGTAAAAAAAAAAAAATCTTTATAGCTAATATTTGTTTTTTTAATGTCTTAATTCTTATTCAAGAGTGCCACTCTGAAAACAATTTCATGACAGAACTTTCAGTTTTACCAATTAACCAGTTTTGAGTGAATTAGTGGAATATTTAAAAAATCTACATTGCTCTTTGCATAAGAATGGCCCACATATTATGTCATTAATTTCAAATATTTTTTTAAAAAAGAAATATTTTTTTTTATTTTTACTTGTTTATTTTTGTCTGCTAGGAAATTAAAAATAACAGCTAACTTCATATCTTTTTACTCTGATTGCTTAATTCCATCATTAAACTTTCCCTTGTTGCTACTCATACCTCTTATTTTTCATTTCATCAGCTTTAATGTTTAGTCCTAAAATCATCTTATATAAACTTTGTACAGATTCCAAAAATGTTGAGGAAAAATGCAAACACAAGAAGATTCAGATTCAACAATACAAACTTTGTTTATACAAACAGATACAGAAGTGCAGTCGATCGCATTCCCTCATTTTGATGTTATAGCATTCATGATCAATAATTAAGATTTTGCAATAATTGTAAAAAATCTTTTCATAAAAAATTTAAGTAAAATTTTATTTGCCAGAAAATAATTTTAATAGTTTTTTAAAGGAAGCAAAATAAATTTTTTTATTGGAAATTTAATTTACAAAACAAATGATAAATAAATATTGTTAATTTGAGGATGGTATTCAGTTTTGATCTTTTTGCAAGACTGGTTTCAGTCCTCAGTACTGAAGTTACACTCCTGTAATTTTTTTGATTTGTCTTTTTCTTTTCTTTTTTTTTAAAACTTATTTTTGATAGCCTATATTTTTTCCCCGTGTGTTTTGTTGTTGCTATTTTTACTTCAAATAGGAGTAGGATAATTCATATCATTATGAACCTGATTGTTTCGTTTTTTAAATGTTAACATTTTACGTATCTTAACAAAAATAGAAAAATTTTCTATGGAATTTTTTTCCCATTGCATAGCAAAATGTTAAATTTTGGACTCTCGAATTAAATTTTTCTCATATTTCAAGTTTCTTACTTAATTCCACAATATTTGATGACATAATGTGTCTAAAATCTTATATTTGTTTAAAAACCTCAATCAATTTTGGTATTTCATTTTAGAAATAAACTTTTTGAGTATCACTGCTAACAATCTTTATTTGTAGACTATGCGACGGAGAAGAACTGAAGTTAATGTAGAGCTTAGGAAGCAGAAAAAAGATGAAAGTTTGTCTAAAAGACGTAATGTAGAAGATGAGTTTGAAGATGACCCTGCAAGCCCGTTGTCACCACAGAATAAGGTAAACCAAAGTCTTTGTAATACGAGAAATTTCATTTTTATTTCTTAACAATTAAAGTACATTCTGGATTTTTCCAAAAGAAAGATTTCTTTTCCAGATTTTTTCCCATGTTTTGTAAGAAATAAATACAACCAAAGTTTTCACCTTTTGATAATATTTTAAAAATGTAATTAAACAAATGTAAGTTAACAAAAGACTAATATATAATACTTTTTGTAACCAGGAGGGCATTTAAAAGGAATTCAGATCCATTTTTAAACTGTCCAGATAAATAGTATTAAATGAAATTAAAATAAATTTTAAAAAATTTATTTGAGTAATTTTTATTGTATTGATTTGACAATATCGCATCTTAAATAATAGATTCACTTATACATTTATTTTCTTTCAATACAATCAAAATTACTATATTTTTAGACTTTATTTTGCAAAAAATTTGCAAAAGCACAAAGTTTTATGTATGCATAATACAGGGTATTGGTTGAATGCTAATTTTAGATTCTTATAATGCTAGATTTTTCATAAAATTTAATGTAGACTCTTTGAACAAATTAGGCTTTATTTTTCTTCACTTTTTCTTGAAAATACGGTAATTGGAAAACTGAGATGTTTTTCAAAAATTTTTTCTTCAGGAATTTAGATTTTGTTTTTGTTGGTCAGGCTCTCCCACAAATCCAGGGTTCATTCTAGACTAAAAAAAGGG